AATAATTATAGCAGACATAAAAAACTGCCAGTAAATTGATGAGTGTTGAATGAGAGAGCTCTCAATGTAAAATAGAGAATACTTGAGATTTTCAAAGGTAACAAAGTCACATAATATCTTTACAGTATGATTTGGAAATAATGTTTAGAAACTTTCTATTATTTTTGTTTACTTTGCTTATATTTCTTCCTTATTAAAACTTTCTCTTTACATGCATTTGGTGTTATTTAAAGATCCAAATGTTTAGTTTTGTTTATTTTGTTTTGTTCTTACAGGCCATGTGTTTTGAAAAGATGGGGATTATAAAATATGAAGAGTTTATTTCCATAATAATCAGCCTGGATTATACCCAGCCACATTCAGATGAATACCTCACAGTGACTGATACAGCATTTATTGACATTCCAGTACGTTTGTACTTGCCAAAGAGAAAATCAGAAATCCCAAGACGAGCCATAATCTATGTTCATGGTGGTGCTTTTTGTTTTGGGAGTTTCAGTAAGTCCGTTTTATAAGGGATAAGTAAGACTGGCTCTATGTTTTTCATATAAGAACTATTTTATATAAATATACATACTTATGTATATCTATATATGTATACTTATATGGATATGTATAAGTATACATATAAATATTATATGTAATAGAGAGATAGGCATAGACATACTTTTGACAAATAATATGGAGATTTTGAATTCAGTTTTGGTTTTGTTCTGTGTTGGTAAACATTTTATTCTCCTTGGCTTTCATATTGCATGCACATATATCAATTGAAAATAGGGCATAAACAAGTCAATTACTAAAACGTTTTTCCTTTGGGATCTGAATATATTCAGGAGCAGAAACATTGAAGTGATACAGATATTTTATGCAGCAAATCAGAAGGATGTGCTATTGATTGCTACAAGATCAAATTTGTAATTATTGATAATAATAATATTAATAGTGGTAATGCTTAGAATGAAGTTGCTAGTCTTGACTCTAAAAAGAAAACACAAAATAGAACTATGTAATAATAAACTCTTCCCATGAAGTCCAAGTTCTCTGCTTGTCTCTGGTGATGATTCTAAGAGGCATATATACCAGATTCAAAACAAGAACAAGAATAAATTTACCTTTATTAAAACTTTGAGCTGAGCGCG